AGCTACTGGGTGGAGGCCATCGCTATTAGGTTGGAGGCCATCGCTACTAGTAACAAGAAGCTACTAGGCGGAGGCCATCGCTATCAGGCTGGAGGCCATCGCTCAAAGGTTGGAGGCTTCTTCTTTCTGACTCTGGTTTAGCCAATTTCCCAGTCTTGACAGGCTGGAAGGCCTGGAAGCGGTGTGTAGCCAGGTGAGCACGGGATGATTGTATGGGGATTCCCCCAGGGTCTCAGACTTGATAGGTCTGATTTATTGCATTTAGAGGACTATGAAGCCGCACACTGTCTATGTTGGAGCTGGATCTAGACAAGACATTTTGCTTGAACAGTGAGCTAGGCAGGCTCTCCGGCAAGACACTGCATCATGTAACACTTCTTAAAGTGGATCTTCATCTCGCCTCTTTGTCCCTCAGTGCTTTAGTTCAATCAACAACCACCCTCAGAGGCACATCACGATGCCCTCCACAACGTGAAGAAGCCAGGCTGAACAGCGGGTTATGATGTATTCGGATACTGTATAAGTATAAGCATGGGCGGAGTTGTTGTTTCTTTTGTTTCATCTTCATCGGGTTATCTGTTGTGGCTTACTTTTGCTTTTGCTTCTTACAGGTCGAATTGGTTTGGTACCTCTGCTCAAATTTATGCACCCAATTTCTTTCGACCACACGGATTGAACGCTCTGGTTGATTCAGGCACATACACCTTGATGAGCCCTGAGCAACGCATGCAGATGCCTTTGACCCCTGCCCGCAAGATGCCCCATTCACTTGTCAAGAGCATTCTGAGCCACAAATCATTCCGACCCGATTGATTTTTGGAGCACTTGAAGGGCAAGAGCAAGGGCCTACGGCCAACATGACTTGTGGACCTCCGGCATTGAGAAACGACCCAAGGACGATCAAGGCAGTCAGAGAGTGTTTCGGATCTGACGCCCAAGGATGGCTGTGCCACTGGTGCTCACGCACCCGGAGACCCAACGAAAATCTCTCTATGGATTCTCGGCAAGGTCCGAGCCTCACAGACTGGAGCCTCACGCTTGGTCCTCAAAAGGTACCCACCAGCGAGCTGCAAGGAATGAGAGAGGTTCCCCATACCTGAAAACAAGACAAAGAGGACTTGCTCAGTCCGTGCCCAAAGGGGGTTGGTTCATGGGTTTCAGGGGTTCTTTGAGGTCTCTACCAAGTGCCAGGCAAGGGCCAGCGACCCGCCAACGACTCCACGCTCGGGTTCGCCAACGCTCGGGTTCCGGGAGACCGAGGAGCCAACAGCAGCGTCTTTCGGCTTCAGTCGATGAACTCTCCAGCGCCTCCATCCGAGCTGCTGGAGCGAGCTGAGGGTCCTGAGGCACCGCCAGCGGCGGTCGGCGGGAGAGAAGAAGAATTGGTGAACGACCTTCTGGAGCAAGGGACCTGAGTGATTGGCTCTCTTGTGATGCTGGGATGCCAGTCTCTTCAGAGGATTTTGGTCATGAGTGATGGATGACTTATCTGTATTTTCATATTTTGATGCGGCCAAGTTTAAAGCCGACAGCCTGTCGAGCGCCAGGCCTACGAAGATCCTTCTGTGGATGAACTGCGCTCCTTGCTTCCGCATGCCACAGGTCGGCCCGGGCGTGAAAGCCCTGGGAAGGGATGGATTGGACATCGATGACTTCTGGCCAACTTTTCATCATCTTTTCATCACTGCAAGATTCTTGGACAGTCTCCAAAGGATACTTGGACAGCCTGTTGGATTCTGGATGATCCATGACTCAAGAAAAAGACATCCACAATCGACTTCGTGTCAGGGCCAGAACTTGTGATACGTTGGCATTGGGACGTCGGTGACCTGGTCGTTTGGGACAACCGGTGCACTATGCACTGCGCCACAGGACCGCGGAATTGATGTGGAGGTGAAAGATGGGGCTAAAGGGACATGACTTCGCAGTGCACCTTAGGCCAATGGATTTGGAAAAGGGTCGTTGACCTGCTTTGTGCATCATTGATTGTGGAAGCCTAGCACTGTGCCTTCTCTACTACTGAGAAATAATGAAATGCCGTTAGACAGAATGCGAAACTTTCCCGCTCCCTTGCGAAGGAATAGATGATCAGTTTCCACCCCACGAGCAACTCCACCAAAATCCTCTTTGCCAGACCTCGCTTCATCGACCAAGTGGCTAGTGAAAAATGCAAGTAGTTCTCTAGATCCCTTAGAGCACAGTGCAATCAATGGATTCCTGTCAGACCCTCACAGGATTTGACCACCAGACCTTTGTGCGGGAGATGTGGCGAACTACCTTTCATGACATGTCTTGGCAGCCACCTGTGCGCCAACTGTCACGCGAGTGATTAAAAGCGTTGAGGGTGTGACTCACTTTGCCAACAGACGAGCCTGAGGGAACCTCACAAAGAGTGATGGTCGTTTCTCTTTTTTGGGAACGCTCGCTGGAAGACCACCAGGCGAACTGCATCGCTTTTCCGACTGCTAAGGTCCAACAAAACTTTCGTTGAGGAGCTTGGGTTGAAAAACATCATAGGTTTTGTTGGCAAGTTGGTTTTGAGTTTGACCAGCCTACAAAGGTGCTCAGGGTAACGACTTGAAGGCCATGAATGAAGAGCGCCACCGTCTTGAGTCTGCTGAGACTCCAATGTCTGTTGGTCAGTTCAATTCCTCTTTCCTTGCAACTGACTGTCGGAGCAGCTGCACAGTTGATCTACTATGTAACCTGACAACCAACCAGAGCCTTCCATTCGCTGAACATGTTATCGCCAGGTCAAGTATTTGCGTAGCACCTGTGCGCCACAGTACTCCTGAAGATAAGCCAAATCAAGTCATCCAAAGCAATTGAGGGTTACAACTGCAGCCAACATAGAAGCTGTTTTTTTGTTGTCGAAGCTATTCTTTGAGCCTTCCAGGATGGCCTGATCCGCTTGGGCTTCGGCGCACAGCCGACAAGCCTCATGCGAGCCCCTCAATGAGTAAAGTGTACAGTAGAGCATATGAGCATATGAGCATAGCGCGTATTGTCTTTTGCTTTGTGAGGGGACACTTGCATCGGACATGGCAGCTTGAGACGTTGTGCCTTTCTCTTGTGCGGGAATTTGCCTCTCATGTCATAAATTGAAAGTGATGATAGGTCATTGGTAGTACAAGCAAACATTGCGGTTTCTGTAGGGTTTGTTGGTGGCCAACAGAGAGCATTGCAATGTGTTGATTGCTATCCAACTTCGACGAGGAAAACACTATTGTGCCTTTCCGTCTCCTGAACATGAACTGTTTGCTAAGTGCAATAACGAGAAACACGATGATGCTAAGGGCGTTTAGATTCTAACAGAGTTGGAACGCAATGAATGAATCTTCTGGATGGAGAGGCCCTCTCAGGAAACAAAAGCCGCCATAGCCTTGTAAAACCTATATATGATATATTGCCAAGCATCGTGTTCTGATGCACACGATGCCATGTCCCTTCAAGCAATGTCAGCGGATGCGATCATCTTGCCAAGGTCCGTCCATGTGAGTTCAGCTTCCTTAGCCTTGCTACCAAAGGACGGGACTCCGTGGACTGCTTTTGATCTGTGCATGTCAAGGAGGTTGAAGGTTGATTTTGTTGGACAACCCACAAGCCTGGTTCAACCGCCAGAAATGCCATGTTTGATTTCGGTCCTAGCCTACTCCAAACCTCTCATCTAGTTGAGAGTCATCCGGTCAAAATGCCAGCGAGCGGACTGTGAGTAACCGAGGCTTTCAACCAATTCTTGGAGCCAATGCAGCCAAACACATGTCTTTCGGTTGACTTGCGAATCCTTTGCACAAGACCTGCTAAATGCCTAAAGGTGAGTCTAGTTTTCAGGCGTGTTCAGGGGCAAGTGCAGTGCTTCTGGAAGTACTAGCAAGTGGATGGCACCGCCCCGCCTGTTTGGAATTCGGAAGATGGTCTTCCTGTCGAGGCTCTGCCATCCCCGTAATCATGATTCCAGGAAGTGTATCCTTTGACTAAAGAAGCTATTAGAAACAAGTGCCACGCTAGTAGTAACAGGTGCCTTACTAGTAGTAACAAAGAAGCTATTAGCATTTACTTCCTTCACTTGGGAGTCTCCAGGGGCGACCCGGACAAGACCCGGAATGTTCGGCCCACAGGAGCGCCAGCGCAGCTATGGGCCGTTGCAGGTCTTTCGAAGCGAATGGTCTGAAGCTATTCATTCTCTTTAAGGACTACATACATGCCCTTGACCTTTTTCTCTGTGTGATGAGGTGTAATGATGTTCCTGAGTAAACATTCAAGGGAATGTTGATATATAGTTGATACCGACAAACTGAAGAAGCTCTTTTTGTGAAGCTTGCAGGGGCCCACAGAGGCCCCATATGGCTCAGTGATCTCTGTGGTCTCAGCACCCTACCGCCTGGCCAGTCTCAGCTGGTCTTCACTGGCGTGGAGTTCGCCGGCGCCGGGCGGTACGATCCACCACAGCCTGCGATGGGTGGAGGGTCCAGGCTGTGGGTGTTTGCCAACTGGTTGGACCCGGCTGCTCGGCCCGGGCAGAGAAAGAGTGAGAAAATAGGCAAACAATCTTGTAGAACTCACACCACAGGTATAGGCTGGGTATAGGCTAACTGAAATACCCATCGAACGACCACTTTTTGGTCTGGGCTGGGTGGCTCGAGCTTCAAGTTTCACAGCCTTGTCGCTGGCGAGGCGGCGAGACGTTTGAGCATTTCAGGATTCTGTCAAGTCCGGTGTCGCTCCCGGCCGCACGATTCACGGAAGGCACCATGTTTTCATACAAAAGGGTTCAGTGATCAGAGTCGCAGCAGGCAACACTTCATCAGAAAGTCTTTGACCATGTAGCAAATTTCCCACACAGGGCTGCGGCCATACAAAGTCACCAGATGTTGCTCCAATTCGACGTAAAGCAAGTGCGAAGTCAGTAGTTGTTATTGCGATATAAGTCTGGATGCACTAGAACGAACGAGAAAGGCATGCAACATGCAAACACCCTCTACATGAAGCCACGCATCAACCATGAAATGCCTATTGGACCAGCCGCAATCTACTTGGACCAGCGAGATTCTCCGCGAGATGGTGCGGATTCTCCTTTGTGGCGATGTCCGTGGTGACGTTCCGAAGGTCTGTGCCTTGGCGGACGAAGCGCCGCATGGATGGGGCGGATCGCTGGATGGACGGCTGGAAGGGTGGGTGGGATTGGATACAGGAGGAACTGAAGAGGCCTATGACTTTACTAGACCTTTGCAAGTTCTGAACTTGAGGGTCCACGATTGTGGTTCGTTCACTTTATTGGGTTCCCCAAAGAAAAATTGATGCGGCTGGTACTTCCAGGGTTTGGTCATGCCGTTGGCAGCATGAGGACCCAGTGATTTAGGAACCAGCTTTTATTCTATCCCTTGATGCTTCAATCTGAAAGACTCGCTTGGAGAGACCATCAGCCCATAGCCCCGTTCTTTGCACAATGATGCTTTCCACTTTGAATGGTTTTCTCCATGATGAAGGATCAATTGCTGTGTACACGGAGGGCACCATTCAGTGCTTCCACTTCCAAGAATTGGGTTGCATGCAGGAATGCTCGGGCACCTTCCAAGGCAAAACGGTCGAAGCTTTACAGCGAAAGCTACCTGAGGCCCGGACATTGTTTGTGGGTTGGTTCGAGGGTTCAAGAAGAGTTTGTCAGTGAGAGATTCGAGTTAACATGTCATGACATACCCCGCATGAGCTGTTTGCCGCCTTCGTTCGAACACTGAACACCCGAACCGCAGGGTGGGTCCGAGCCTTAGGAAAAAGGTGCGCCTTCGCACATTCGTCGTGCATGGTCATTCGCCACCGGTCGGCGACAATCGAGAAGTGTACCATCGAGTTTGGTTGTTAGCATTGTGCATTGGTCACATTGGTTGAGTTGATTGGGGTGCTACCTCCCGCATGGTAGCGGAGCCCCTGGGGGCTCCAGGGGCTGGATGACTACAACGGCTGCTGGTGTGCCGTGCTGGGACGGCAATGCTTCGACCTTTGATACATTTGTTGTTGCGTGCAAGTGGTTTCAAAAGTCACTGAAGCCTTCAGAGCGATCCCAAGCAGCACCGAAGATCTGGCAGTCACTGTCGGGCGCTGCTCGCAGCGTCGTCAAGCACCTCGACCCCGATGACTACACAGATGACGACGGGATGACCCGTCTTCTGAATGTGTTGAGAGCGAGTCCACTCCAGCAACTTCCAATTCCTGACAGCTTTGGCAAACTGGAGCGTTGGCACCACCTCCGCAAAGGTCCCAACGAAACAATGGCTCAGCTCATTGTCAAGGAAGAAGAGATGTTCCAAGACCTTCAACAAAGCCTGGTGAGAGCAAGGGCCGACAGAGCCCTTAGCCATGTCGTGACACCTGGACCTGCCAGGATGGATCCTCCATCCACTCCGTCTCAATCCCCGGTCGCTGGAGCTCAGAGGCGCGCGTCCGAACAGCGAGAGTTTCCACCGGATACGGCACCGACCGTTACATTGGGCAGTGGTGGTGGTTCTGGGTCGAACACGTTGGCCAATTTTTTTGAGGACGAACTACGTGGATACAGGTTGATGAAGGCTGCAAAACTCAGTCAAAGCGAGCGGCAAGCAGTTTTGGTTCAGACACAAAACAGCACCCACTACTATGCCATCCGTCAAGCTCTGCGAACTCTGTATGCTGAGAAAAGTGAGCGATCTCAGCTTCATGATCGTGGCCGCAGTGCAAAAGCTTGGTGGGCTAATGGTGAGTGGGAGCCCGAGCAAGAGGAGTTGGAGCTGGACTGGAACGAGTGGAGTCCCACTTCGTGGGATCAATGGGAAGATGAGCCCAATAGCTTCTGGTATGATGGATGGGAAGAAGATGAATGGGGCTACGATGACTCTTGGTGGCCCAATGAAGAAGAGCTGAATCCCATCGAGGAGAGTGAGATTCCTGAGGAGCGTCAATACCAAGAGGCCTTCGCCCTTGCAAACGAGGCAGCTCGGACTTTGGAGGAAGCCCGCAATGCAGTGAAGCAAGTTCGCGCTGCCCGTGGCTACTACTCGCCAGAGTCGAGCAGTGGCAAGGGCATCAGTGGCAACAAAGGCAAAAGCAAGCCGTCTTCTGGACCTGGCTCAGGCAAAGGGAAGACATCGAGCAACAAAGGATCCCTCGGACCATGTTTTCTATGCGGTCGCCCTGGACATAGCTATCGCCAATGCCCTGACCGATTCTCCAAAGGAGGAAAAGGATTCGGCAAAGGCAAGAGCAAGTCTGGCAAAGGTGGAAAATCACCGAAAGGCAAGGGTGGCAAAGCATTTTTCACGGAGCTCTACGTGAATGTTCGCTGGGACGAATTTCCCCAACGGTCTCGAAGCTCAACAAGAGCAGTCATCGACACTGGAGCGACGGAAACCGCTGTGGGCATTTCGTGTTTGGAAGAGATGGTGAGCAGTGGGCATTTTGTTCATGAAGTTTCCCATGACAGCCTTCCAGTGTTCAGATTTGCCAATGGACACAAGAGCAAAGCATTGAGCAATGTTGTGCTGCGCAATACATCGCTGGGTGCTCTCAATTTTTACGTGCTAGGAGATTTGGGGGGCAACAACGCCGCCACTGTTGGGAGCCAAGACATTGCGAGCAAAGAGAGCATTGCTGTCGTATTCGAACGGTTTGTTTTTTGTTTGCCCCGGAACCATCTGAACCCGGGACAACTTGCAGTGGAAACATTGTGAATGCAGTGCAAATGGAAGCTTTGAGCTCGGGTCACCTCACTATTGATTTGGCATCCCCACCATTTCAAGTTGAATCAGAGATTGATTTGAATGTTTTTTTGGAAGTTGAGCGAGCAGTTGCCTCCCGTGAGTTCGACCACCACAGTTCAGAGTTTGTTCGTGATGCATTCACCTCTCAAGCTCTCCGATCGTTTGGAGAACTTGGCTCAAAGGCTGTCAGCAACTCGCGAACGGCATGGCCTCGAGCAAGGCCGCAGCAGCGATCGACGACCCAAGACAGAGCGGCTTTCCATGCTACGGCCAGCACAAGGGCAAGACGAGGCAGAACCAATATGCCACTTGGGTGGTGTGCCTCAAGTGTGGGATTCGCCTGGAGTACCAGACGAAGAAAGCCGGCCACGGCGGCACGAGGCAGATGGGTCCAGACCCGCAGATCATTCGGCTGGCACTGGCCGACATCGACAAGAGCATGGAAGCCAGCGAGGTCACGATGGACGTGGTGAATGGCAAGATGATGGAGATCAAAGGCAAGATGCTTCAGATGGGCATCCCAACGCCCCTCCAGCTGAACATGACCTTGGACGAGTACCACCAGAGGCTGGAGAAGTTTGGCCGAATGGATGGAGTGCCAATGACTCCAAACCAAGGCTCCATCAAGTGCGGCCCGATCGAGCCCGAGCGAGGTTCCATCAAGTCCGGAACCCAAGAAGGCCAGCCAGAAGAAGGGCGTTCCGCCCGAAGGCCCTTTGGAGAAGGAGATCAAGGAGATGGCAATCAAGGGCTATCTGGCCGCCAAGAAGGAGAAGGAGCTGGATGTCACGAAGGGCAAGCCACAGATGATTCCGGATGGCCCGGAAGTGGTGATGATCCACTCGGAGGAGGAAGAGTGGGAAGCCCCGACGGAGAAGGGCAAGGCATCTGGCGATCCCTGAAGGGCTTGCGAGAAAGGCTGACCAGGCTGCAGAGTCGTGGCCTTGGAGCTGGTATGGGCTCCGAAAGCGGTTCAGCAGCAGCGGAAGGCAGCACGGCAAAGACCTCACTCGGTCTCAATCCACAGCAGGATGCAAGCGTCCACACGAACAGCACCACGTGTCACCACGGCAACACGGCGTGCACCACGTGCTCAACGAGCAACGCGACACACACCACGAACCTGATGGCTGAACCCAGCCATATCCCTCTCTGGGACACGCACGGGCACCCACGGAGAGTTGGAGCACAAGCCCAACGGCATGGGCCTACAACAAGAGCCAGACAAGCAGCAAGAACATAGTGCCTCCATCTCTGGCCAAGAAGATGTCCATCAAGGCAGCCATCCTCGGGGCGATGATTATGGCCCCAATGCAGTCCCTGTTCACTCAGATGGCCGGAACGGTGGACTTCATGGAAGTGGCATGCTCAGCCACGAGTGCACTCAGCACTGAGATGGAAGCAAATGGCTACTCGATCCAGAGAGTGAACTATCTGGAGGGCTTCGACCTTGACAAGAAGTCTGGCACAGAGAAGCTGACCACCAGCATGAAACAACTGAAGCCCAAGATGACATGGGTGAGCCTCCCATGCACCAGGTTGTCATCCCTCACTCACCTCACTTCTCGCACTCCTGAGGAACAAGCAAACTTCGAAAAGCGGCAGCAGCGTGATCTCAAGCGCGCTGATGAGGTGAGCCAGGCAATATGCCAGACCCTGGATGACGAGAACGACTTCGCCTGGGAATGGCCCACCGGAGCAGCAAAGGGATGGAGATCAAGGGCGATCAAACGCCTTGAAGACAAGATGAAGGCCATTGGAAGACCATTGTTTTGGCGCCGACTCCACGGCTGCGCATACGGCCTCACCTTCAATGGCATCCCAGTGAGGAAGGGCTGGACAGTCATGACGTCCAATCGAGGCCTATGGTTGGCCCTTCAGAAGAAATGTCCAGGTCACCCTGAACACCTGGAGTGCCGTGGGCACGTCGCTCAGGCAAGTTCCTACTACCCCACAGCCATGGTGAAAGCGGCTGTGAAGGCCATCATCGGCGCATGGACGGCCTATGAAGACAAGGCCAATGTCTCCCTTTCCAAGGACGTGCAAGTCCATCTCCTGGGAGTTGATGAAGATGAATCCCAACAAAGCTGGGAAGGTCAAGCAAGACGAGATGAGCCTTCCATCCTGGCCCTGACGAGACAGTGCTATCCTGAAGAAAGGCCCACAGGCAAAAGATTGGAGCAAATCAAGCAGACCATGCTCCGCATCCACCGAGCATCAGGTCATCCCTCCATGGCAAACTTGCAGCAGCCCGCAACGCCCCTCCTTGGGCAGTGGCCTTAGCAGGTGAACTCCGGTGCAGTGAATGCATCGAAGCAAAGAAGCCCCGGCCAGCTCCGCCTGCAAGCACAGGTGAACTTCCAGCTCTGTTCGAGCAAGTCGGGACGGACGTTTTTGAAGTGGAGTTCAACCACCATGAATCCCAAGAAGCTCAAAAGGCCAAGTTCATTCTGTGGCGGGACAGAGCAAGCGGCCTGGCCCAAGTCGACCTGGCAAGTTCGCAATTGGGAGCCCCTAGGCATCAGATGTCCTGAAGTCCTTTGGCAAATGGCTCCAACACAACCCAATGCCAAAGTGGATCATTTCAGATCCGGTGACGTACTAGACGTCCTCTGAGGTGATCGACTTCATGGGCCGAAGCGGCATTGGGCTGATGAATACCCCTGCAGAAGCACACTGGTTGCTTGGAGCTGAAGAAGGCTGCATTGGCCTCCTGAAGGCCACATTGTCTCGCTTGAAGAAAGAGACACCAGCCCTCGATATTGAGGCCTTGATGGACCTTTCCGTCCACGCCCACAACAAGACAACTGGCCCCAATGGATTCAGCCCATTCCAATGGACCAGGAGAGCCGATCCACCAGAAGAAGCTCTCCCAGTTGGCATGGACCCCAAGAAAGCCTTCGAAGGAATGCTCAAGCTGAAGGCACGAGCCAAAGCAGCATTCGAGCTCGAGTCCGCAAAGACCCGCATGAGCAAGCTTTCAAATGCCACCACAAGGCCTCCTGCCAAGTACAACTCTGGTGCTTTGGTGATGGTTTGGCGGCAGAAGATGCGTCCGGGACGCGTGGGTGGCAACTGGATGGGTCCTTTGCGAGTGCTCATCCAAGAAGGCACAACTGTTTGGATGGCCACCGGATCCAACATCGTCAAGGCCAAGACAAACCAAGTTAGAGCGATCACCAAGAGGGAAGAACTGCAAGCTTCGCTCGAAGGGACAGCCATCCTTCGAATGCCAGTGACACTTGAGTCCCTTCTAAGAGATTTCACTGGCAAGCACTACACCAACATCTGCGGCGAAGCACCCTCAGAGCAGCAGCAGCAAACAGATGTTGCCGGAACCACGGTGATCCTCGAGCCAGCGAAGAACCAGCCAGACACATGGCGCATCGAGCCAGGCGAGTGGCTCATTCGTGTGCATAATGCACCAAGGCTGGCAATGTTTTCCCCAGCACGGGTGACATCATCACCCATCGATGAGGCTCAACTGACCGGCAAGAGGAAGACGCACATGAAGGCCCTCATCGAAGGATCCTCCCAAGTCCTGATTGAAGATGACTATAAAGAGTCAGAGGATCCCCACCGATTGCTCCAAGAACGGTGGACAGGGGAAACTTGGTTTGAGATTTCATCTGCTCAAGCAAGCAGTGGCCCGCAGAAGAGGGCGCCAAAATTAGGTGCAAGCAAAGCCGTGAAGAAGAAGGCCAAGGCCACACCTCTCGAGGGAGAGGACACGGCAGCTAATGAGACAACAGGATCGGGAGCAGTCATCCCCATGCCTGATGAAAGCCTGCAAGAGGCTCTTCGTGAACGTGGTCCGGATGCAGTTGATGGCATCCCTGGCAATCCAGTAAGCGGACCTGCAGACCATTCTGGAAACCATTGTAAAGTCCAGAACTGCCAGCTCCCCGGAGGTCATGAAGGACCACACCAGGACCCGAACCAAAAGCGGTTCACATGGGACCCGTACAACGGACGGGTCGATGAAGAGGTTTCTTCGTCAAGTTCGAGCTCTTCCTCGAGCTCATCCTCTTCAGAAGAAGAAATGGTCCCTGACCGTGAAATGAAAAGAAGAAAGAAGGACAAGGACAAGAACCAGGCTGAAGAGGAAGACCTAGCGGTCTATGCGCTTGAAATTGAGGTGACGCCCAAAGAAGCGCAATGGCTGGCCAATCATCCCAACAGGGCCACCGCCTGGATGTCCAAGAAGGTCCAAGAAAAGAGCAAAGAAAAGCTCTGGTCAAAGTTGACCATGGAAGAAAAGAAAGGATTCGATGAAGCGCAGTGCAAAGATTCCCAAGTTCTCCAGTCAAAGGCTCTGCGATGCCTCACTGAGCAGGAGCACCTGAGCTTGAATCCCGCATCAGTGATGAAGATGCGCTGGGTCTTAACGACCAAATCAGATGGGTCTCCAAAGGCCCGATTGGTGGTCTTAGGCTACCAGGCACCGAATTTGACCCCGGCGGCATCACCAACCATGTCGCGCCTCTCCAGGAACATGATCTTGGCGGCGTGCGCCAACCTGGGACTCCGCATCCGCGGAGGAGATGCCACGTCGGCTTTCCTTCAGGCCGACCAGTGCATGGAGAACCAACAGTTGACCATCTGGGCGCCAGCAGAGCTTGCAGTGCTTTTTGGAGCACCTCCTGAGAACCCCATCATGCCCTTGAGAATCCGGCGAGCATTCTATGGACTGGTACATGCACCCAGAGCATGGTTTGACCACCTCACCGGCACTCTCCGCCGAATCGGTTGGCGACAGGTGAAGAGCGACAAATGCCTCTTTGTCCTCACCGACGACTCGCCAGAGAAGAACGTGATCTCCATTGCAGGGATCCACGTGGATGATGTGCTCATCGGAGGAAAAGATGGCCATGAAAAGTTTGAACGATGCTTCAAAGAACTGGTAGAGGCCTACCGATGGGGCAAGTGGGAGCATGATGATTTCAAGTTCACTGGCTGCAGGATCAAGCAGTCGAAAGACTTCCAAATCCGGGTGGACCAACAGGAGTACACCGACAAATGGATTGAAGAGATCCATCTTGATGCAGCCCGGATGCAACAAAGGAAGTCAGCAGCCACGGCCAATGAAGTGTCCATGCTGAGAGGTGCAATTGGCACCATAGCTTGGCGAGCCTCCCAGACCTCGCCGCAATACCTCGCTGACGCAGGCCTTCTGCTTTCAGAACTGCCATGGGCCACAGTCGAGACGGTCCACAAGACCAACAAGCTCATCCGCGAGATGAAGCGCGAAGCGAGCCAGTCATTGGTCTTTCACCCCTGGCACGTTCCCTGGCAGCAAGTGGCAGTGCTAGCATGGGCCGATGCCGGCCAAAAGAACAGGCCCGACTCCTCAAGCACCATGGGGATAGTGGGCGGCCTTGCACCAGCTGGAATTCTCCAAGGTGAAGAACATGGTGTGTCTTTGATACACTGGCGTTCCAGCAAGACCCCACGACAGGTCATGGGCTCCAACGGAGCCGAGGTGCAGTCAGTCACCGCGGCCGAAGACTTCGTGTTCCACACCAGAGCCATGTGGTGTGAAGTCCACGGCCAGACGTTTGAGAAAAAGGAGGACCTGTACCAGATGGTACGAGGAATGTCGCAAGGAGCGGTGATCATGGACACCCGAGGAATCTACGACGCTGCAACCCGGAATGTCTCAAGCCTCCACGGACTTCGATCCTCCCGAGCAGGCTACGAGCTGACGATCAGTGTCGATCAGGCACGCTCCATCGGAACCCAATTCCGTTCTGTACACGGAGGTGTACAACTGGCTGACAGCCTAACGAAGTGGGCTTGCAGGAAGGTGTTGTTGACCTTTTTAGCCCACGGGCAGCGCTGGAAGCTTGTGCACGATCCAAGCTTTGAGTCGTGCAGGAAGGTGCGCAAGAAGGAGCTGGAGAAGCAGATTCGAGAGCAAGAAGAATCCTTTTTCACGGCAATCGCCATTTTGGCTGAACAGAGCCGATGGCCATTTGAAAGTGGCAAACAACTCAGGAATGGGGGTGATGAGAGATTCGAGTTAACATGTCATGACATACCCCGCATGAGCTGTTTGCCGCCTTCGTTCGAACACTGAACACCCGAACCGCAGGGTGGGTCCGAGCCTTAGGAAAAAGGTGCGCCTTCGCACATTCGTCGTGCATGGTCATTCGCCACCGGTCGGCGACAATCGAGAAGTGTACCATCGAGTTTGGTTGTTAGCATTGTGCATTGGTCACATTGGTTGAGTTGATTGGGGTGCTACCTCCCGCACTCAGGAAAGGGAGGCCATCGCTAGTAGGTTGGAGGCCATGGCCAGTAGGTTGGACATTGGTGTGATGTTGATCGATGATCTCTAGAGATCTGCCTGTTGTGGCGGCCACCTGCGGCATACCTGCGACACTTCCAACGAAGAAAACGAAGGTGAGATGCGACCTCTGGCAGGACCAGCGCTTTCAGGCCGTCTTCTGTGTTGGTGAATTCAGCTCTGAGGAGATGGACCTAGAGGAGAACCTTGGATGAGGAAGCTTTGATAGACTGCGGGAACCTGCAACGGCGACCTCCATCGACCTCCCTAGAGAGTGAACAATCCTCCAAAGTTCATGCTGATTCGCAGCAGGGCTTCTTTAGCTTGCCAAAGAAAATCAAAGACCACAAAAAACATGAATCCATTCGCTTGAGATCCCTACATGGATGTTGCAGCTTGTTATATAAATGTGTCCTAGCAATGTTGACTCATAGTATGGTGAGGAATGCTGGTTCTTTCAATGCTTCCCGCTCGATGCCCTCCTTGAGGAAACCCTGTGTTCCCGTCTATTTCATTGACTGTGGGCCTGCATGCCAGGAGAGGAAGAACACGGTGTGAACTGAACATTCGTTGCTTCATTCGATTTCCATTTTTCTTTGCATTCGCTTGTTCGGCTTTCCGAATGCACATGCTTTGCATAATGCTTCTGCACACTTTTGCGGCAAGCCAACTTGCACCAGGACCTCATTGATGAATCACCTCAAGGCACTGAGCGGAACAACGGTACGCGGTTCTCACTATTTTGCCTTGGAAGAACCGTTGATGGTCCGCTTAACTTCGTCACTCTACAGGGTCCAGGATCCAACGAAAGCACACCTCCGGGGTGTGAACCTCCAACGGGGAATGTTTGGGCGAACGACGTCGCCCGTTGTGTTCGCCCTTTCAGTCGAAGCTTGGCCTTTCAGTTGATGGTAACGTAATAGCAATGGCCTCCAACCTAAGGGCGATGGCCTCCAACCAAAGAGCGATGGCCCTCCAACCTTAGGGTGATGATGGCCTCCAAGTGTCTTTCGCCAGGTGACGAGGTGGCACCGAATGTGCACTTCTTGGGCCACTACGGTGTGGCCTCTGTGGTGGGCCTCAAGGCCGGAGCCGATGAGCGCTGAGATCTCGGTGGTGGGCGATCGGTTCATTCGGGCGACCGACAGACACGATCGGTGGGGAGGATAGGAGTCGTTGCAACAACGCTCGTGACAGCAGACGTCTGTAGCCAGTGAAGCGATTGGTTCGATTTGGGCAGGAAAGTCAATGCGGCGCAAAAAGCCAGCTTGAAGCATTGAATCACGGACGTGCAACAGTTCCAATCAGGATCTGTCATAAGGTTTTTTGAGTATTTTGGACTCATACCCTCAAACAAGCATTGAACGGCATATACTCACGAACTTGTTGCTGCCATGCTGCTCTAGCTGTTGAGCATAGAAATGGAAAGAGTCAAGGACAGCCATGCGGAGGGTCAACACCAACATGCTCAATGACATGCAGGGTTGATGATTGAATCAGCAGATTCTCAACGCGACCTTGTACGAAGCAAATGAGAAGCGACGAACTGCGCTCCTGGACACAAAATCCAGGCTAAGTTGAGTTCCTGGTCGCTTGTGATTGGAAAACTATGAACAACTGCGAACCCCCAGCTTCAGGACACTTTGATCTTGCCAAAAAGCCTAGAGAGCGCTCAGCCGGACCGACGATCTCTGATGGTTCTCAGTGTGATCTGCGCGTGGCTGCGAAATGACCTTCGAGTTCACGACTCTCCTGTGTCTTGGTCGGTGGGCAAAGTGACAGTGTAAGTAGCTATCGATTGTTTAGTCAGACATCAACAGAAGATTCAGAACAAAAAGCACTCCAGTTTTGTAAACACTTTCTGCTACACATCGACATGTTTGAGCTGCAAATCCTTGAGCAAGGTCCTAAGCCGTGCCGCCCAGCTGGCCAAAGAGCAGAAGCTGCCTGTGTTGCCTGTCACCTGCAGCAAATCCAGATGGGTACCGGTGGTTTGCAGCTGTTCACTCTTGTTGCAACATTTGGCAGGTACCCCTTCCATTTCAGTAGGGACTTGCCAATTCATTGATTCTTTTCGATATTGAGCTTATAAGGACCTGCAAGGTGCCCTGCACCAAGCACTCATCAGCTTTCGGTTTGTAGAGGTGCAAAAACTCCCCTGTCCATGGGGATGTTGAATGAACACCGCGTTCACGCTCATATGACTTTCTGATCCATAGGTATCCAAGTTTGAGAAAGCTCTTTTCTGAGGTATACTTTTTGGATCCTCGTCAGTTCCAGTCCACCAAGTTTGGCACGCTGAAAACGGGTGCCTTCCGTGCTCTCTTCCTCCTGCAATCGGTGCGGGTCTTGAAGCGGCGGCTGCGAGCAATAGGCGCTGGGATTTATCGCTCGGTCAATTTCGAGTGATGGAGCCGGAGCCCTGTGGGATTTTCTCGAGATCCTTTTGGTTGGCCCAATTTCTCTGATGGGCACGCTTTTGGTTGGCCTAAGTTTCTTCCTTAGAGTAGTGACAATCTAGCCAAACTGGAAAATGGGGTTCATGCAACAGCCGGCTTAATAGGTGTAGGTACCAATCTGTTTATCAAGGGAAGTGCGATGATGTAAGGCTGTAAGGCCCAAAGCCCTACCAAATAATTCGGACAGATATGTGTGGCTCATTGAACCCTCAAAGTCATTGTAGAAGGGAGGACAGATGGTCCCCATGTGGTCCCCATGTGGTCCATCGGTCTTGCACACTCGGTCCACGATCCTTGCAAACTTGCAGGAACGTATGGAAGAGGTTCCAGGTCATCGACTTTTGTGATTGTCTTCTTTGCATCTCACAGTCTTCCTGCTGTCAGGCTCTGACCTCTTGATACAGGTTGGAAAGCCGGAGGCGGGGCCGTGGGGTGTTGTTGAGGACTTCACAATGTGGAGTGTTGTCTTAGCTGGATTCCGTCATCCACAAACCAGTTCAATCCTAAGAGAGGGGCTTCTTTGCAATGAGGCTGTCACAAGGGAAACTGGGCTCATGATACGTAGCTGGATAATCTGTTTAAAGTTATGCTGGGTCAAGCACTCTTCCAAGCAGAATGTCATTTCGGGAAGGCAATTCCCCAACCATGATCGGCGTCATTTGACCTGAGTGCAGGAGCTTTTGCCCAAACTCCTTGCTGAGAAGTCCATTGTACTGACACAGGCACGGCAAGCGCTGGTCTACGAATGGCGCTTCCAGAATTCCACTTCATTGGGGTAGTGAGCAGGTGTGGGTTTGGGTGAAGTGCTGGGGTGGAACAACGGTTTGCTTGCAATTGTGAAATCACCAGAGAGAAGGACTGAATATTATATAGAAGCGTTCATGGAGCATTTAGCCATACAGTCGTCACGTGCACGAATGACAGTGCAGATGAGGCAGTGAGCAATCCATCAGATATACAAATCAGGCAAAAAGATGGGCTTATTTTTAGGGCTCCACTCTGACTAGCATGGAAGGGGATGGCATGGAGGTGCCATCCACTTCCAAACCGCGCTGTTTGGAGAGTTCATCCCGGCAGTGTTTGGCTTGTGTGGCGCGAAGGAAGAGGTGACCTCTGAAGAGCTCAGGGTGGATGATGCGTTGCGGCAAGCGCTACAGCAAAAGGGCTGTGAGGCGGCAAGCTTTTCAGCCTCGAGGTTCAGTAAAGAGGAAGACTCAAATGCAACAAGAAGCTACTAGGGGCTCCTGGCCTTACTACTAGGAGCAAGGACGCTACTAGGGGCTCCTGGCATCGCTACTAGTAGCATTCTTACTATGTAAAGGAAAACACAACTGCATGGGATTCCAGCACTTGAACTTCATCGACTGCAGAGATACGAGCTGCGAAATCGGAGCAAGCACATTTCTCCGAGGCTGAAGATAGTGCATGAAGGCCAGTGTTCCTGGCCATCGCACATCACCAAGTCATTATGTAGAAGAACTTCATGCTCCTGAACTCCTCTGTGCTTTGCCAGGCCTTTGAGTACTGTTGGGGCAGTACCCTCTTTCACAAGGATGACTTGCCCTACCAGAAGGACTGAAGCCAACACCTGATTCCTTTGATGCTTCTTGATCTTCTTGTTTGTTTCCGTGCTGGTGAAAGATGGCAGAAACCGACAAATTTTTGTTGGCATCTGGACAAGTTGCCCTGTTTTGGTCGCTAAAGGATGGGGAGTTTGCAACAGACAGATCACCGGCGTTGGCCTTCGAGGACTTGAGGGACGCTCCGGATGTTTTTACGACCTTCAAGAACCAGGTGAGCAAGCTTTGCATTTTCAGATTTTGTAAATCTGGCTTCTAAATAGCTTCAATTATTTCACCATTGTTGTCTGCACCGAGAGTTGTTCCACAGCTGCCATGAAGGAAAAGCAAAGGTTATTTTCTCTTCCCGCGTCCTTGTCCTTCACTTCATACAAGAGACTCTCTTCCTAACGCCTGATCTTCTAAGTGCGAGTTAAAGCCCGTCCTGCAGCAGCAAGGATGAACCAGGTCATTGAGATTCCAGACATGTTGTTTTGGTGTTAGCGCCAGACATTCCACACATTTCACGCGAGGTGGAGCCTGAAATGGCTGCAAGAGTCAACGAGGCCCGGACACTTCGCCGCATGCCAGAGCAGTGGGGAATCTTTGATGTCTTTCTGTCAAAGATCCTTAAGTTTTGGATACCATGCGGCCTTGGCAACGTGGTTCAAGAGCCATCAAGACTCAGTGCCTCCTGATCAGGTTCCAGAGACCTTTCGTGGTGGCCGAAAAAGCCGCAGCTCCATGGGAGTCAGGCGTGCGCGTTCCTTTTTTTCCATGGAACACATCGGTGTCGAAAGACCGAAGATGTGCTTGGTGTTCGTTGTTTGTGCTACCCAGTGTGTGCTAGTCAGCTAGTTACCTGAAGCCTGAAGCAACTCACCGGTCCCAGTGTGGACGGCCAACTCTTCAGACTTCGTTCTGTGTGAGGCCCTGTTTGCCGGAACTGACAGCTGGCAGCCTACCGTTCCCTGAAACCGGAGCGGCCCTGGACTTTGAGCTGGTCTTTGAACCGGAGTGGAAGGACCAAGGGCAAGAAAGAGGATGAGGAAAGAAGGATCTACGATGGCTCCGCGACTTCTTAACCCGAGTCACCAGATAAGATGTGTTTCTATTCTTGCTATATGGAGGCCATAGACTTCTGTCGGAAGTGTGTGCTCAAACCACTTGGCCGAGTCCACACATGGGGCGTTGAACACCATGTTCGATGACACTAGTGTTGGAAGATTTGCCTTGAAGGGTTCGGAGACAGTCCAGGCAGCAGATATTCAGAGCTCAAGGGCAAGATTCTCTCAACATGCTCAATTACCTCAAACCATTCAAACATATTCAAACCATGAAGGGAATCGTGAAGGGCGGAATATCCAACATCCACTCCAACATCCACTCCAACATCCACTCCAACATCATCGTGTGTTAGTTGGAGGTGCACATGTTTCTTTCTTTCCATAGCAACGCTGTTGTGCCCCTGTTGTGCCCAGCAACGTATCATGTGCTTTCTCAAGCCATGAGTGAGTTCGAGGTGAAGCTGCTTGGGATCAGTGGCGAGGTTCGGACGGAGCTTCGGACCACGTTTTGTTGGAAGCCCCACGAGCTTCGCGGTTTGCGTTCGGACCCAGGCCCCCCAAACACAGGGTGTTGCTACGGTAGCTGGTGCTCAGGAGCGATTAGCGACTCGGAGCAGGGAGGCAAGGAGTCGCAGAGAGTTCCCCAACCCCTTGCTAGACTGGGTTTTCGCGTTGGAGTCGAACCAGCGGTGAACACACACTTCTAGGAATGGCTTGTGACGGTGACACCGCACACAACTGCCAACAAGCTCCAGAGCCTAGCGGCGGAAGCGTTACAATGGAGCTTGGTGTCAAAGTTCTTTCTGGAGAGACTTGGTGACTTTGAGGATTTTCAAGAGTGGCCTCGAAATGAAACATCGATGCAGATCTGCAGTCCTTGATTTGGCAGTTCCTTGCTGCGTCCTGATGCGAAGGATAAGACGCTGGCGGGTCTGGACATCACTGGTTCATGCAAGTGATTGACACTTGGCAGCCTTCAGCAAGGTTCATGGTAAGTTGCGGGAGAACTTGCTTGGTGAGGCAGTCGTGAGTACTTCTCTCCAAAACATCGGCAGTTCAGAGACCGGCTGAGGCGCCGAGATCCCAGAGCTTCATCAAGACTCGCAGCCCTTGGTGTCCTGCGCCCACTGGTTTCCTCAGCTCGATGCAAAGAACCCACCCAACAAGGACATCAGAAACTTTCTGCCTGCAACTTAGTACAGCTCAGGTCATCAAAAAAAGATCGTCTCGTCCTGCAATCACCTGGCATCAGTTCGTATGATGACCAACACATGTGCCAAGGGAAGGAGGACGCACCGTGACGGGCAAAAGTGCTTTGTTTCTACTGGCGCACGCTCGGAGAGACAAGACACATTGGACCCCAGCAACCTTAAGCAAGATACATTGACAACCTTAGCGCTGCCTCCAGTGAAGTGGTGCAGACAGGTAAACCTTCAAATGATCGCGGCGATGGTGTTACTGACTGGCAATATGGGCCACGCGATCCACTCTCCACTCATTTGCTGTCAACGTGCAAGGGCAACGACGCGGTTCGTCCTATGGGGTCCCCCTATGTTATGGACCCATTTAAGAACTGCCTCACAACGCACACATACTCACGTATATAACCCTAACAACGTACCACGTACCATACATACATCCATACATACATACATGCATGCATACATGCATGCATACATACATACATATATATATATATGCATATACATATACATATACAAACACATACACATATACATATACATACACATACATACATACATACAAACATACATACATACATACATACAGACACACATACAGACATACGTACATACATACATACAGACAGACAGACAGACGTACGTACGTACATACATATACATATATATACATACATACATACATACATACACACATACATACACACATACATACATACATACATACACACATACATACATACATACATACATACGTCCACGCCATTATTACCACATCACAGCGAACCGCGCCGCTGCCCCCTCCCCCTCACAGAGTTTTTTCTGTACAACTTACCTCACACACAAAACGCCCCAACAACCGACCGCCACGCCCCGCTCTCGCCGCGACGTCGCCGACGACAACAACAAAGAGGCGGGACTTTCCGACCGGGACAGGTGTTTTGGTGGAGGGTTGGAACAGATTTGCCAGAGCAATTTGACGCCCGAGCGTTGTTGCAGTTCATCCGACTGTTTTTTTTTCTCTCTCACGAGCAATGCCGTTGGTCTTTGCGATGGCCCGTGAGAATGGGATGATGGTGCTTGACGTCCCCGTTGGCCGGCGCTGACAAAGGAGGAGAAATTGAAGAACCCAAAAGGAAGCAGGTTGATGTGTGTGAAGGAGACCAGCGCTGAGAAAGACCCGAAGACCCGAAGGTTGGCTTTTTGGAGGCAATCCAGAAATTGGACGAGAACCAAATGACAAACGCCTTTGACAGCGTCAAGGGCGATGTCGGTGGAACGACGGAGAACAAGTTGAAGGCATTTCTCACATCTTGTTTGGGTCATGGCAGAGATTGCAGACCTCCATGGCATCACAGGTGGCATCTTGGAGATGGCAAACTTGACTACTTCCTTGCCTTGGCGTTTGACTGGGGCGTTGAGAAGCAGACTGTTTCACTGTCCTTTCTTCGCCCCGTCGTGCGCAGTCAGTTGGACAAGCGCATCGGGGCGCGTGAGGCGTCCCATACCAGCAGTTGAGGTAGTATGCGCCACCCCTTCTACAAAAGAAAGCGGTTGCGATAGGCGCATTCTCGTTTTGTGTGGGCGCAATTCCGTTCCGTGTGTGGGCACAAATCCGTTTTGTGTGAGTGCAAAAGCGATTTGTGGTGGCGCATCAAGCGGTGATTGCTCGGTCGATTTCAATACCTGACCGACGCAGAACATTGCAACCAGCGCCTTCCGTCTCGCTTGTGCAGTGTGGGATGGGTAAACACGGTGGGTGAGTATTCTTGTTGTTTGAGCGCGTCCATGCGGTTTTTTGAGACTTTCGATCGTTCCTTCAATGTTTGCGATGTCCGGTTGCGAGTGCTGACTGTATGTAACAATCATTCGGGCGCAAGACATTCAGATAGAGAGACCTTGACCTCAGACATGGAGGCGGTTGCAATGGAGTTGGCCGCGTCCTTGTCCCCTCGCGCACAGCGAGACTTGCTGGAATACTGCAACTCGAAAATTCAGGAGATGGAGGGGGAGTTGGTGTTGTTGAGGAGGAAAAGAGGCATCCTTGAAGACCTCGTAGCGAGGAACCGAAGGCGTGAAGGCGATGAACGCCGTGAAGCCTTGAAAGTGTCCCAGAACCGGAGGAGGCGTTGTCTGTTTCACACGGCTCTCTGGCGCCGGAACTGTGACTAGAGACAAGAGAGAGACCGCAAGAGTTGAGGGATGCGTGGATGGTAGGAGTAGGGACAGACCCAACATGTCGTTTTCGCCAACATGCCTTGTTCCCCCCACTTCCCTTCGCGCATCCGCCCCGCCACAGGTACTCTACCACAACGCGACGCTCACAGAACCTCCACACCTTCCTCCGGAACACCGGCTACAAGCAGGGGCGATACGACCGGGTCGTGCGTCCGCGTTTTTTTGTAGTTGCAGGATATATATACATAGGATTATAAGTGTAGCAATATTTATGATCGTATTTAGTCCTTAGATGTTGAAACAAAGTTTTCAACTTCCGCCGGCAACAAAACTTCACTAACCAGATCTTCCGAAAATCTGTA